GGGAATGAGGCATTTTATTGATGAATTGCTTTAGCAAAACAAACAAATCCATTTCATGTAATTATTGGCTTGGTCAGTCTGTTGTTTCGTCTGTGTATTTATAGATAAAATGAGGTATAAGGAAAGTTAAATTGGGACCAACAAAAGGAGGGAAGAGAAATGAGAAGAAAGAATTGCTTTAATTGAGTATCAACCATCAGCCAAATACATATTTTTATATGGTGCCACTGAAAATATTTAGAATAAATTACAAGACAAATATAGAAAGAAAAGCAACTATTTTAATGACCAGAAGGATTGACTGAAAAATACATTTATATTTGCTATAATATTTACATATTTACTTAGGTAATGTATTTTTAACTGAATGTTAAGATTTATATTGATTATTCGATATTTCTGTTATAACTATAATCATAACCAACAGCATAGTGAAAATATATGTGCTGTACTTTTTATCATTACAACCTGAAAAGCCCTGATTACATTGTCCAATTATACAATTACCAATTAGAATTATGTCATCATAACTTCTAAGCAAATTAAAGCAACAATTTTAAAAGATTTATTTATTTTAGAGAGAGAGAGAGAGTTGGGGGAGAGGGGCATAGAGAGAGAATTCTGAAGCAAATTCCCCACTGAGCCTGGAGCCCAACATAGGGCTACGTCTCGCCATCCATGAGATTATGACCTGAGCCAAAACCAAGAGTCCAACGCTTAACTGACTGAGCCACCGAGGTGCCCCGAGAACTACTTATTTTAATTATCAAATATTTTTAAAATGCACAGAATTTTAATCCAGAACAAGCAAACTTAGAAGAATATAAATAAAAATATCTTATCCTTTAATATGATGATTAAAATACTGAATTTCTAAATATATTTAGGTAGAATATCCTTTTTGCTCAATAATGACTCTAATAATATATAAAATGAAAGCTCACTACCAATCATCCTAAAACTACTTAATTCTTTTTATATGAGGCATAGCTTACATTATATATAGAAACACAGATGTGCTATTCACACTGTTGACATGATTTGGGATTCCTTACCTGTAACCTCTCAAAATTACAGTGATCTAGAAAGCATAATTTGGGGACCTAGGAAAAAGTGGATAGTGAAGATGGAGGAAAAGTTTCAAGATGGATGAACAGACTTTGGAAAAGTATAAAGTTAGTAAAGTTAATTTGTCAAAATTGCTACCTTAAGACAATCTTCAGAGATCCAGAGGTCCAAATCTTACATTCTCCCAAAGTATTGTACTATTGCACATTTAGCCAGGCAGTTTAAAAGAAATGGAATGTTTAAGACTTCTGCGCAAGTGATTGAACTGTAGATTGTTTTTTCTGAGTTTACTCTCCAAGTTAGACAATTCTGCCTTTTATTAATCAAATACTCTTATTAAATCTAAGTTTCATGTATTATTATTTTCAAAAGAATCTTGAAACTATTCAACTAAATGCAATATTAAATAATCAGTAAAGTCAGTAGGAAGTAAGTAAGGCCATCAGGGCAAAGCTGCAAAATTACGGATTTAAATATTTAATTAATTTGGAAAAGGACAATGTATCTAAAGTTATACATAGCCCTCCATGATATATTGGAGTAAATTATTTGAGGAGTTACTACAATGTTCAATCTCAAATTGCCTTATCAGGCAAAATATTACATTATAGCCATCCAGAATAATAAATACAACCACTTAAAAAACTTAACTTACCCCAGAATTGTTTGAAGTATTAAGATCTTGAAAAATCTGAATTTGAGTGATCCAGCTTAGCTATTCATTTATTGCCTTCACTCATTCAGCCAATCAAAATGATACTGAATTTTTTTTGTTGTTGTTATATCAATATCTAACTTCAGCCAATCAATCAGAACGTTACGGATTTTTTTTTGTTGTTGTTACATCAATACTTAACTTCAGTAGGATACATTATAAGCCAATCTACTTTTAATTAATGTTTTGCCTGATTTATCAACATATTTTCAGTCTCTGTAGTGTCCTGTTATCTTTTTTTTCACCTTTCTATCCCCTTTCAGGTAATATTATCTTCTCTGGTAATAATACCTTTAAAAGTCTTCGTCCCACTCTCAATATATAACTTTGACTGGATTTGGTTCCATCTTATTGCAGAATAAGCATAAACCATAGGACTTATCTCCCTGGCCAATCAGAAGAATCTATTTCCCTGACCACACTGTGAGGTTCAAAGGTATGTACTCGCCCAGTCAAAGTCAGAGACATGCAAAGAGACTTTAAAACTCTTTCCCCACCCATCCTCATGGGATATGAACTTGGAATCAACCAGCAGCCAATTTGGTATTATAAAGACCGAAGATGAAGTAATGTGAACAGCAAAGCCAAGAGACAACACAGAAATGTTCTTGGTTCTTTGAATGCAGCTAAGCCAGGAGACATATCTTCTTAGTGGATTTTCAGATTCATCTGGCTACAAGTCCCCTTTATCTTTAGGGATTTGTGGTTGGATTTTCTGTCTTGTAGTAGCAAGAAATTTGTTTTTCTGCTGTACAACATTGTGCCTATAGTAAACAATACTGTATTGCACACTTTAAAATTTGTTGAGAATAAAATACATGCTAAGTGCTCTTACCACACAACAATAATAATTTAAAAAAAAAAAGATGTCTAGACAAAAGGGTGGGGGAAAAGGCGGTGGGAGCTGGCCTCTTGCTTCACCTCGAAGCAGCAGGGGAAAGTTCTTTAATGAATAAGTCATTTAGTGAACCAGGTAAAGTGATGGTTAATTAATATTTTGCCTTAATTGGCAAATGCCCACAGCTATTAGCAGGTGTATTTTGGGGGTACCTGGGTGGCTCGGTCAGTTAAGTGTCTACCTTAGGTTCAGGTCATGATTCCAGGGTCCTGGGTTCAAGCTCCTCATTGGGAATCCCACTCAGCAAGGAGCCTGCTTCTCTCTCTCTCTCCACCCCACCCCCAACTCATGCTTGTTCTCTCCCTCTCAAATAAATAAATAAAATCTTAAAAAAAAAAAGTGTAGTTTGTTTACATCTTCAGACTAGAGAGGAAACTTTTTTTTCCCTCTCTTTCCAGAAATTATATATAGGCAGAAGACTTTATTCTGGGACAATATGAAGTCTTTACATTTAATATATAAAATTACAACTTCTAAACTCCTCTGTTCATTCTCACCTCCTTCATGCTCAGAGAGGTATTAATGGGGGAGATAAGGGGAGTTTTGATGATGCGACAAGCTTGGCCCCTTTAAACTTAGCTTTTGGAGACTACAAATAGAGTTTTATTCTTATGTTTAGTAGATGTTTTGCATCTTTAAGATAATAAGTACAGAGGTGGGGCATTAACAATGTCTTTAAAAAGGTAATATAATTATATGGAGATCAGATGAAGATTAAAAGTCTTCAACTCTAGTCTTTCAAACATGACCCCCCTGATGTGTGTCTGTCTCTCTCTAGTATACTTTGGCAGGGAATGATGTTGCTAATATTCCTAGCTGAAAATTTCCATATATCTTGGTAGTTTTTTGTAGGAACTTCAAAGACAAAGAACAATAAAGTTATCCCTAGATTTTTTCCACTATAACATCTTACTTATTGACTTTTGAGTGACCAAATATTCTCATGCAGAAAGTTACAAAATAATTTATAGTTCAAAGAATCTTTGCAATTCTCTTTTAATATAGACCTTGTCTAAATGCCTATTCTTATCATTTATTATTTTTTTCTCCAAAAATTCTTATTTACAATGTGCAACATTTATAAAAAGGCAAGTAGGGAATCAAATATATAAATACAGAAACATAAAGAGAAATAAAAAGAAAGCTCTACCATCAGCTAAGAGAAATTTCTAGTAATCCACAAATCCATTGTTACTGGCTCTCAGTTGACACTTCCCACAAATCACAAATCCACAAAGTCACATATCCAAATAGACAGATGATCCACTCATTAAAGAGGTCTTAGTGGTTCTTAGTGCTTTCACAGAGGTGTTTTTGTGGAAATATGAATTCTACAATGGTGAACATGTACATCAATATTGTGGGGACAAGGATAATAGGAAAACCTCTTCAGCTGTGAGAACATGGAACTAAGAAAAGCATATTAAATAGACTAGGAAAAATACTGCTGGAATCTATCATCTTCAAAAAAACTATCAAGTCATGATGTGGAATTGAGATATTTGTGATGTAACAGGCAAACCAAGACACATGATGGTAAAATTATAGAGTCAGATTTTCCTCATGCTATTATTGTATATATGCTAGACCTTCACTTCTGTCAATATATTCTTGGGGTTGAATTTCCAGTGATATGTAAAATCTTACATAAAATAGAGGAAAATGGATGTTTTATCTCTTCCCAAATAAAAATACATTTAAAAGAAAGAGAAAAATCACTGAAATTCATGATGACTTCTTCTTTGACTTTATGCCTCATTATAGAATTTTCAGCCATTGCACCTCATCTAAAGAATTGTAGAAAAGGAATCTCAACCACTCTGTAAATATGTATGTATATATAAGGAATTATTGATCAACTTCTAAGGCAGATATTTGTCTCATGTTTTTCATTTTTATTGCGTCCAATGAAATGATTTTTTCTTTGCTTAAGTAATGTGATTCCAAACTAAGTTTCATTCAAACTAATTTTAATTTCAAAAAAGTACATTTTCCATGTTTTAGATATTCTAATATTTATGTAAAATATAATCTGAAATACACAATAAACATATTTCTTAGCGTTTCAATATTTTCGTTTATTTTTCTTAAGATTTTTTTTTTTTAATTCATGAGAGACACAGAGAGAGACAGACAGAGTCAGAGACACAGGCAGAGGGAGAAGCAGGCTCCATGCAGGAGCCTGACGTGGGACTTGATCCTGGGTCTCCAGGATCACACCCTGGGCTGAAGACGGCACTAAACCGCTGAACCACCCAGGCTGCCCAATATTTTCAAGTTTAAAAGATAATACACAGAAATCAAAATTTAGTTTCTTACCTTGCTGGATATGTAAGTGATTGCAACTTGACACGCTGGATGTTGTATTTGAATGTGAAACTTTGCCAGTTTGAGCTCTGAAAATATGCCAAACCAATCCTTGAAATACTTACAATATCATTTAAAAATTGAGCAAGAATCTTGACTTCTTGGAGCTTATTAAATGATGTATTCTTCCTAAACAGAAAATTTGATATGCTCAGCATATTAGTAATTTAAAATATAATTTAACTCTTAGGTCAATGTAATCTTAACAATGCAGGATAGAAAGAATAATCTTATAGGAAAAATGGGGCCAAACAATAAAATATTTGTTAAAGTATTTATTAAAATATTTTAAAATATAACCCAGCAATTGCACTACTAGGTATTTACCCAAAGGATATAAACAGTGATCTGAAAGGGCACTTACACCCCAATGTTTATAGCAGCAATGTCCACAATAGCCAAACTGTGGAAAGAGCTGAGATGTCCACTGACAGATGAATGGATAAAGAAGACGTGGTATATATATATATATATATATATATATATATATATATATATATATAATTACATATATATAACTGATATATATACGTATATGTATGTATATATACGTATATATACGTATATATACATACAATGGGCTATTACTCAGCCATCAAGTAAAAGCAAATCTGACCTTTTGCCGCAAGGTGGATGGAACTGGAGGGTATTATGCTAAGCAAAATAAGTCAATCCAAGAAAGGCAATTACCATATGATCTCATTCATTTGTGGAATTTAAGAAACAAAACAAAACAAAACAGAGGATCATAGGGGAAAGGAGGGAAAAATAAAATAAGATGAAATCAGAGAGGGAGACAAACCATAAGAGACCCTTAATTATAGGAAACAAACTGAGGGTTGCTGGTAGGAGGAGATGGGTGAGGGAATGGGGTAACTGGGTGATAGGCACTAAGGAGTGCACATGATGGGGTCAGCCCGGGTGGCTCAGCAGTTAAGCATCGCCTTCAGCCCAGAGCATGATCCTGGTGACCCGGGATCAAGTCGCGTGTCGGGCTCCCTGCGTGGAGCTTGTTTCTCCTTCTGCCTGTGTCTCTGCCTCTCTCTCTCTCTCTCTCTCTCTCTCATGAATAAATAAATAAAATCTAAAAAAAAGGGGGGGGAGGGCACATGATGTAAAGAGCACAGGATGTTACATGTTACTGATGAATCACTGATCTCTACCTCCTAATTGTTAATAAATTGAATCTAAATAAAATAAAATTTAAGAAATAATTTAAATTAAGTTAAAACAAAATAAAATAATAATATATGCATCCCCATGCAAAATTATTTGGGGATACTACTTTTTGAGAAAAAAAGGGGACATCTTGTTTTTCTTACTTGGTATCTACCTTGTACATTTGTTTAAGATTAAAGAAGTCCCCTTATGCTTCCTTTTTTTTCTTTTTTGCTTCTCTTTTTAGATACCTGAACAACTATCACACTTTCCTGAATAGACTGGATATTCAAATAATAATTCCTTGTTGTTCTGTGCCATTTTACCAAATATTTCTGAATTAAAGGAATAATTATAAAAGCCCTAGATTCAAAAGGAAAAAATAAAGGTAGAATATAATAAGTACAATTTTCTGAGCATTTTTGGTGCACCCAGAAGTGTAATAAAGTTTGACATACTTGACCTTCTTCAAGTATCTTAACTCCTTTTTTTAGGTACTATTAGTATTGTCATTTACAAATGAGAAAACTGCATATCAGAGCATACAAGTATCATTCCTAAGCTAGTGAATGCAAAGCTGGAGTGCAAACATGGTCACATCAATGCTCTTCATCACTCTACTCATAATCCTCATCCCTGTGTGCCAGAAATGTGGAGGCCTGGAGTCAGTTAGGTCAATATGGATCTGCTTAACTACAAGGGAAACTCCAAGGGAAGACAGAAAAGGTGAAGGAGAGGCAGGATAAGTAATAGGAGGAGGAAAGAAAGGGAGGGAGAGGGGGAGAGTGGGAAGAAGCTGTAGAGGAGAGAAAAAAGGAAGGGAAGAAGAGAGAAGAAAAAGGAAGAGGAGACAAAGAAAATTTAAAAAAAAAAAAATCTGTTACACTGGGATGCCTGAGTGGTTCAGTTGGTTAGGCATCTGACTCTTGATTTTGTTACCATCTGAGGTTGTGTCCTCAGATTGGTAGTAATGAGCCCTGTGTGGGGCTCTGACTCAGCACAGAGTCTGCCTGAGATTCTATCTCTTCCCCTCCCTCTGCCTCTCCCCTTGCTCGCTCTCTCTTTCAATCTCTCTAAAATAAATAAATAAATCTTAAAAGAAAATTGTTGCATTAACTTCAAGGTAACAATGATTTGCTTGAGCAAAGGCAACAATCACATGTAGCACAGATGAATAGCAACCCGTGGTGCTTCCAACACTTGTGCCATCTTACATTTATCCCTGCTTTTTCCTCCTTTTGATTCTTCAAAACAAGCCCAAAAAAAGGTTGTCATCACACTCCTCAAAGCCCATCTCTGCTCCTCCAGGAACTATTACTACTTCCTCTTTCATGTAATATAACATCACTGATCATACCTCTAATTTCCCTCCAAGACCTTATGAAGAGTTCTCAGAGATACTACAAAGTCAGTATATCCAGATGGGAACATGCTATCTTTCCCTACAATTTTATACCCACTTCAAAGGTTTCAAATACCAATAATTTGCTCATGATCATCAAATCTCTGCCTCTAGCTAAACTCTATCTGCTGAGATCAAGACATACTATCTACTATTATTGACCACACCCACTTGGATATCCCAAGGCTGTCTAAAGCTCAGTAGGTTCAAATCAAAATGATATCTTCCCCAACAACCATCTCTTATAAAACAACAAAAAATAAATATAAATATTTTAAAAACCTCACAGCTTATAAATTTCTTTATCATTTTAAATGGCACCACCACCTATTACCCAAGCCAGAAATAAGGATCCACCCTTGATATATCATCCCTTCTTTCAACCCCTACTTCCAAACTCTCATAAATTTCTACTGACTATACCTACAAAATATCTTGAATCTGCTTTGAATCCATCCTCAGTTTCCATCTCCACTTCAAGCACTCAAGAGACCATTGTTCCTTCCTTGTCTATATTCTTGCAACAACATACTGTCTTTTCCCTCATGAACCCGCTGTGATCTAATTGTTTTTCCAAAATAAAGATCCAATTCTGGCTCCAACCAGACTGTCCCAACTAAAATATTTCAGTGGTTTTCATTTGCCCAGTAAGTAAAATGTAATCCTAGAAATGCCCTACAAGTTCTAATTCTGATAAAATTTAGGGGCTTTCTACCTCTCTCATAACTCTCTTGCTTTCCTTGCCTCCATTTTAAGACATTATAAAGTTCCTTATTTCCTGAAATGGGCTATGTTCCCTTGGCTTCAGGATCTATGCATTTGTTGAAACTTCTGCCAGGAATATAGCAAAGCAGATGAATTCTGCTCATCATTCGGTCTCAACTAGTATGAAATGTCCTTAGAGAAACATTTAGTGACCTCACTGCCCCTTATTTTATGTTTCCATACATACTATAATTTGCCTCAAGACATTTTTCATATTTTATTTATATATTTGTATTTATTTTTGATTACTGTTATACCCTTCATTAAACTGCAACTTTAATGAGGGTAGGACTATGTCTATTTTTCCCATCACAGTATCCTCAGCACTTAGCACAGTCCTGATGAGCTCAATGTAGGCACACATTAAAAAATGTTTGAATAGGGATCCCTGGGTGGCGCAGCGGTTTGGCGCCTGCCTTTGGCCCAGGGCGCGATCCTGGAGACCCGGGATCGAATCCCACGTCGGGCTCCCGGTGCATGGAGCCTGCTTCTCCCTCTGCCTGTGTCTCTGCCTCTCTCTCTCTCTGTGACTATCATAAATAAATAATAATTAAAAAAAATTTAAAAAAAAATGTTTGAATAGAAGAATGATGAACATTGTCATTTTATTTATATTATGTATTTATAAAGTCTATCTGCTGCAGTAGATAGAAATTATGTAAAGACAGAAATCTAATTTGCCCAGAATTGTATTCCTAATTTCTAGTACAGTTATTGGCCTATAGAGCTTTCAAGATATTAGATTGATTGATTATATTGGCTCCTCTCCATGACCTTCTTGCTCAGTAAAGAGCACCATAACTTAAACAGTTATCTTGAAACTGGTTTCCTTCCTTCACTTTCAGACATTTAATTAATCATAAAAACACATGTGTTCTAAATCCTAAGAAAAAAACCACTTCCACAGATTTAGTTCAGGCCTTCATCATCTTTCACATAAATTACTACAGCAGCCACCTCTCTGGACTTGTACCACTCTCACCTCTCCATTACTCATCCTCTGGGAGAATCATTTTATCCAGAATGTCCAAAATTGGTACCTTCTGTTTAAAATCCTATATTGATGTATTGATATATTTGGCATCATATTATAATGCGTGAACAATATTAGTGGAAAAAAATGATCATACTGTAGTATTCAGCATAAAAAAAAAGACACATTTGCAGTTAGATCCTAATTTTGCTAGGTAAAAAGGAGTATGTACAATAAGAAAGAGGAAGGAAACAAGGAGGCAGAGGAAAAGGAGGAGACATAGTTGGAGACCAAATAGTAAATGTGAACATCCTTGGATGATATAATTATATATGATTCTCATATATATGAGACATTTTATACAGTGAGCAAATATTCCATTTTAATTTTGAAAAGAGAAACAAAAGTTGATTTAAAAGTCTCTGTGTCCCTTGTGTCTGAAACAGTTCAAATACCAAAGTATGATCAAAACTATTAGCAAAGAATTGTTAACAGACAATGAACTCTTTGGCCAGGCTTACATAGACAGATTTACCATGAATATATCAGCCATGTTTTATATTCCTTCATGAAAAATGCTCTAATTCAAGTATGTAAATACTTGATGCATCAATATTTCATGTTGTTCTGCATAGACAATGATGTTGATAAAGGAAATCAAGAATTACAATTTCATTGCCTTCTGAACAAGTTGGAAACAACTTCTCTAAGACTGTAGTCTTTATGCTGTTACTGAACTCTGGTACTTTCCTGTCTTCATGCTTTTTAAAGCACTGTCTCCCCACTCATTGTCTGCAATATCTCCCATTCAAATGCTTCCTTGCTTCCCTTTCTGTACACTCAAGTATATAAGTATCCGACACTACAGGACTTATTCCTCAGAGCTGTAAATATGCATTAGACTCCTCCAGTATTCTGCAACTTCCTTGAGAACAATAATAATGATATTTTATCTTGAATACCCATTGTTTGGTGAAATGCCCGAATAAGTCTCATTGGTGCTAAGTAATACTGTTGAATAAATGAACTCAAAAGCTAAGAAAGCATGTCTTATAAAAATAAATGGATCATACAGGTATGTGTGTTGTATATATGCACATACATACACTATTTTTTTTTTAAGATTTTACCCATTTATTCATTAGAGACACACACAGAGAGAGAGAGGCAGAGACACAGGAAGAGGGAGAAGCAGGCTCCACGCTGGGAGTCCGATGCGGGACTTGATCTTGGGATTCTAGGATCACATCCTGAGCCAAAGGCAGACACTTAACCGCTGAGCCACCCAAGCATTCCCATACACTATTTAAAGTGATTTAAAGCAATAAACTATTATAAAATAACTATTTATTCTTATAACATTATCAATTAGTGCTCAAAATCAAGTGGAAAAAACTTGTTTCTCTTAATAAAAGATGAGCCTTTGTGTAAATGAAGAATTTGAAGAATTTGAAATCCTAATTTATTTAATACTCTTCTTTGAGTGATTGAGGAGTTGAGAATAGGGAAAAAAAATGAAAATAATTGATGCTCATTCATCACCAGTTCCATCCAGCTACTAAATTATTGGAAATGCCTTTAATCATTTTAAGAAAATTAAATTTGTAAGGATCTAATATTAAAAATACGTTTATCTCAAAATTTTAAAAATTTCCCTCACTTAGAACTCAGAATATTATTGCCACAAATGGCCTTAGTATTTCATGATGAAGTCTTTATATTACGTCAGCACATAGGCTCTCAATATTTTATCATAATATACTGCATTTACTGTTATTTTCTTTGTGGCTTTCAAAGTTTTAAAGATTTATCTACCAAAGCCTCACTTATTATGAGTTATGACTAATTTTTATATTTTAATGTCATTTTTAGATTTTAAACAAAGATTTATAACAATGTTGTAAAATTATATACGTCACTTCCATTGTTTGCAATGCTAATGTACAAATATATAAGCATGCAGAGACTTTTCCTTAGTTTGCTTTAATGGTTGAGTAAGTTTGGACGTCGCGGTATATGCAAGCCTGAAGCTCATTACACAATAGATTTAGTCAATTCGGGTACTGTAACGACCTAGACTATGACAACAGTGAATGCTAGATATACCAACTGTGCCTCCTGAAATTCTAATGATGTCATCAGTAATTAGTCTAAACTTAAACCAAATTGTTCTAAGTCTAGGCACGATAAAAAAAAAAGTGCCTCTTTTATTTCATCACTAGACATGGTACCCATGAGCCTTTTGAAAAGTTACATTATTTAATAGATTTCTAGAAGTCTAGCATAGCAGGTTGGAAACTACAATTTTAATTATAGCATACACCATCATATCATTCTTTTATTTAACAGAGAATGAATGAAAGTTAAATAGAAGATTAAGTAAAGGGGCATCTGGGTGGCTCAGTGGTTGAACATCTGCCTTTGTCTCAGGTCGGATCCTGGGATTCTGGGATCGAGTCCCACATCAGGCTCCCCATTGGAAGCCTGTTTCTCCTTCTGCCTATGTTTCTGCCTCTCTCTCTCTGTGTGTGTGTGTGTGTGTGTGTGTGTGTGTGTGTGTCTCATGAATAAATAAACTTAAAAAAAAAGTCTGCTTCTATTATCTGTGAGATTTGTGGCTGGGAGTGGTTCTCTGAAATACTGAAATTGGGTCTCTCTCTACTGACAGAAGTTACCAGATATTTATTCACATCACTGTGAACACAATGTTGCCTGAAAATCAGAGAGAATTAGAAGGCAAGGTAGTTTGAGAAGAACACTGGAATGAGAAAGTGAGAAGGGAAAAAAAGTTTCCCCTAATGTTTGTAGTTCCTTGTTTATATATGACATAAACAAGATAGTCAACTTCGTATTCAGCATCTTCTTCCATAGAATGAATGAATTAAAGTATACACCTGAGATTCTTTTAATATTTAACATTTTAAAGCTCACTGGATAGAAAATTTACACCATTTGTATTATATTTCAAAGTAGATGCTCAAGAAAACAAACATTTAACTTATGAAAGAAAAGAAATACTAAATTATACTTACTCATAGAGACTTGGTTCTTCAACCTTTCCAAACTGGTTTAATAATTTAAATGTAATATAGGCATCCTTCATGGTTTTATCTAGAAGAGTTATACTGAGAACAAAATAATAGGCTATAAAACAAAAATATAGAATGCAATTCACATTATTATTATTTTCCTTATTTTTGATTCCTATGCAATTATACATGTATGTATATATATGTATGTAATCTAGGCACATATTATATATGCACATAATATTGAGGGGCACTCATTTGGTACATAGGTAATATATTTAACTTTTTGTCAATATTTAACTAGACTTTAAAGTGGGGAATGAGGGCAGCCTGGGTGGCTCAGTGGTTTAGCGCCTTAGCGCCGCAGTGCCGCCTTCAGCCCGGGGTGTGATCCTGGAGATCCGGAATCGAGTCCCACGTCAGGCTCCCTACATGGAGCCTGCTTTTCCTCTGCCTGTGTCTCTGCCTCTCTGTCTCTCCCTGTGTCTCTCATAAATAAACAAAATCTTTTAAAAAATTAAATAAATAAAATGGGGAATGAAAAAGCCTGCCAGACAGTCAGAGGTATGGTAAAGGGTTGGCCAAATGATTAGGGAATACTATCTTGTTTGCAAACTAAAAAAAAAAAAAAAAAAAAAAAAAAATCAGAATTTAGGTCAATGAAGCAGCTTTTCTTTTTCAGTTACATAACTAAAGTAAATATGATAAGGTTCCTTAATTATCTGATGAATAGTCTAGGTAAAATTGCTTAACAAATATAATTCCCAATTTCACTGGTTGTTTAGGAATGACTGGAAAATTAAGTATTTCTATATATACCAAGCTCATAATTATTCTTAATCAAAATGGCCCAGCTTAAAATTGATACAGTAAAATTTCCACAGGCAAAGATGCTGAACTCACCCCTGTACTCAATATTGTCTGAGCTAGACAGAAAGTTCTGACTCCCCGTGAGTTTTGTTTTGGTTTTTTTTTTTAAGCACAAGAAGTATCTATTAGGAAACATGTAGTTCAAATAATTACTGAGGGCCAGAGAACAAGGCCCTGCCAGAAACACCACCCAAAAAATCGCAGCCCATAACTGCTTCAAGATCCTACTACCCACCTGCAAGCAAGAGCTAGAAGATTTGCTGATAAAGCAAGTTTAAGATACTTTCATTTCTATTATGAGAAGATGTTGATGCATCTGGAGGGAAAATACCCAAAGGATTTAAATTCACAGCAAAGAGATATTTTTAAGTCCTCACTAAGCCTATCCCATTTACCATCTAACATCAATATCCAATTTTCTTCCTATACTTCAAGTATGATGCTATTATTACTTAGATGCCCATCCCCAGTCCCAACAACAGCCAAGCAGACTACATTTTGCTTCAGTCCAGTGTAAAGTGATACCCATTGTTTTAGTTCTATCCCAATCCTCTTGTGATATTATAACTTATGGACTAGAATATATCCTCCATCTCTATCATATCTTATATAAAAGAGGTAGGCACTGGTCACTATACTGTGAACCATCTCTTAGAAGAAAATGTATAAAAACAGAACACGGGATGTATGAAATTTTCTTATAAGAAATATATGTACTAAAATCGTGCATGCTAGCTGTTAAACATTGCTACTAAACAGGCAAGGGTAACTTATTGTTTTATGCCTGATGCTTATCACTGCCTCAAATAAGATAATGTATATATCGCCAGACTTCATCAATTTCTAACACAAGAGAGTAAAGGACAACTTCTTACTTTAAAGTGACTTCTCAAAAAAATAAAATAAAATAAAATAAAATAAAATAAAATAAAATAAAATAAATAAAATAAAGTGACTTCTCAGGGGCAGTTGAGCGCCTGCCTTTGCCTCAGGGTGTGATCCCAGATTCTCGGGTTGGAGTCCCACATCGGGCTCCTTGCATGGAGCCTGCTTCTTCTCCCTCTGCCTGTGTCTCTGCCTCTCTCTCTCTGTGTGTGTCTCTCATGAATAAATAAATAAAATCTTTTATTTTTTTTAATCTTTTAAAATAAATAAATAAATAAAGTGGCTACTCAGCTTCAGACAAAATACTTTGTTACACCTCACCCCCAAAAGCAGACCTTCAGACTCTCAGATGACTTCTGGAAGCATGACATATTGAGATGTTACAGAATAAGCCCACCTCTTATTGTACATGGAAATAATGAGTGTGCAATCCATAAATTAAATACACAACCAAGCTCAGATAAAGGTAGGGAAAATATCAGGAGACAGAAATGAAGAGAAAGTAAAGGTAAAGCTTAAGAAGGACTGAAGCTCTGGAATCCTTGCAGGAATTGAGAAGTGAATGTGGGGAGACTGAGGCTCTATGGAAGTGTTAACTTCCACACACAGGAGACAGGATGCTGAGTGACAGAGTGGAAATGAAAGTCTCTGCACAGAGCTGGAGACCTTAATTTTCTGCTTTTTCATTCAAAGGGAAACCTGGGAAATTCTTCTTACTGGTTGTCTATGAGTCTTAGATGGGGGAAAAAATGTTCCAAGACTAAATAAAAATCCAGGTAACATGGAAATTTCTTTTTAAGATTTTATTTATTTATTTATTTATTTATTTATTTATTTATTTATTTATTTATTTATATTTGAGAACGAGAGGAACAGGCTCTGCTCTGAGCATGGAGCTGGACACAAAGCTTGAGATCATGACCTGAGTGGAAATCAACAGTCTCATGCTTCACTGACTGAGGCACCCAGACACCCTAATAACATGGAATTTAAATTAGCACTCATCACTTGGTAAAGATCCTCCTTACCCCTCCAAATTACATTTAAAATGCTCCAAGATTATGCTACATAAATTCTGAAAAAAACAAAATCCAACTTGCTCTGAAGAGAGAATTTTGTGCTTTTTTTAAACTTTTTTAAAGATTTTATTTATTCAACAAGGAGGGAGAGAGTGGAGGGGAGCACAAGCCAGGGGAGCTGCAGAGGGAGAGGAAGAAACAGGTTCCCCACTAAGCAGGGAGTCTGAGGCAGGGCTCAATCCCAGGATATGGAATAATGACCTGAGCCAAAGGTAGACACTTAACCAACTCAACCACCCAGGTGCTCCAAAGAGGGAATTTTGAAGAGCCGACTACTGAGAGTTTTCTATATTAAAAGAATACATGAGTCTTCATTTTGAAATAGCACAAATATTTTTCTTTAATTTTAAGAGGCTTAAAATGACCCTTGAGACTAGAAAATGATAACAATAAATCATGAATAAGTAGATTAATTAATTAATTAATCCAACCAGAAGAAAACTATAGATTATCTGCAGGCAATAATTACACCAACAATAAACGAAAAAATAAATTTACCTGCAAAGAAAATTTATGTCTTCAAAGTGCTGAGTCAAAATACTCTCAGTCTAGAATTCTATCTTGAATTAAATTTGCATTCCAGAGTAAGGAAAAGATAAGGACATTTTCAAGGAATAAACAAACTGAGAGAGACCACTAGTAACAAGTCATTAAGGATATATTACAGTAAATTAGGAGTTAAACCCAGAAGGCAAAAGTTGGAGAAGGGAAAGAGGACAAGATAAAAGGTAGAAAACTAAAATTGGTAAATATAGTGAACATTTGTTATAATGGTAACATTCATAATAAATTCTGATTGTTAAGTAACAAGTGAAATGAAATATTACAGAACATAATATTTAAGACAGAAAAGAGGACAGGTTTCAAAGGCTGTATGAGATACAAACTGTTGTGATAAAATATGATAGAATCAGATAAAATTGGGAGGCAAAATGCAAATTTTTGCATAAAGCAAAAAGAAGCAAGTTACCAGGAAAATATAAAAGTCCTGAACCATTATACATCTAAGAAAGCAGAGCCTCAGAATACATAAAGTTAAAATCTAAACAATGTGGCTACCTGCTTAAAATAAAAAAGATTTACATTAGGACTCAACTTCCAACATAATACATAAAATGAACAGGATACGATTGAAAATTGCCCATTAGGGCAGCCCAGGTGGCTTAGCAGTTTAGTGCTACCTTCAGCCCAGGGCGTGATCCTGGAGACCCAGGTTCGGGTCCCACATCCGGCTCCCTGCATGGAACCTGCTTCTCCCTCTGCCCGTGTCTCTTTCCCTCTGTCTCTCTCTCTCTCTCTCTGTCTCTCTCTCTCTCTCTCATGAATAAATAAAGTCGAAAGAAAGAAAGAAAGAAAGAAAGAAAGAAAGAAAGAAAGAGAATTGCCCATTATACCAAGAACAAAGAAAACCACAACTTTGGTGAGAAAGGACAATGAATTGATGCCAACACTGAGATAAATCAGATGCTGGGATTATCTGACAAGGATTTCAAAAAACCAGTTAGAGCCTCTTGAAAAAAATGAATAGAAAGATCTGAGCAAAGAAATAGAAGCTGTAAAAGAAAACAGGGTAGAAATTACATAAATGAAAACTACAGTAATATATATATAAAACTCACTGCATTTACCTGATAGTAGAGTGAATGATAGAGGATAGAAGTCAGTGAATTTGAAGACAGATCAATTGGCCACTCAAACTCAAAAATGGAGAAAAAGAGTGAGAGGGAAAATATGAACAGGGCCTCAGACACTTACGCGACCATAGCAAAAGATGTCATATGTATTTTATCATGTCAGGAAGAAAGAAAAGAAATTGGTGTTAAAGAATATTCAAAGAAATGATGGCCAAGGACTTTCTAAATTTGATAAAGAAAACCAATATGCGCATTCAAGAAGCTGAGTGAACCTGAAACAGGATAAACCCAAACAAATCCTCACCAAGTCATCATAATTAAACTTCAAAAAAGAAAAAAAAAAAAATGAAAGCAGCCCAAAACAAATGATGCATTACCTATAGGAGAACATAAATTTGAGTCACAATGGATTTTTTTTATCTGAAACCATGGAGGCCAGGATTTTTCACACACTGTGTGGCACATTTTTCAAAGGCCAAAAGAAAGAGCTCAACTCTAAGCCTTATATCCAGTAATACTATCCTTTGAGAATAAAGAAGAAATAAAGGCACTCTAAGACAAAGAAAAACTTAAATAATTTCTTTCTATTTTTTTTGTATATGTGTTTATTGGAGTTCGATTTGCCAACATATAGCATAACACCTAGT